TCCTGAGATCAGCTTCCCTTGAAAAGGAATGCGGTCTCCTCCAGGAAGCCCTCCGGGCCTCCCTCAGATGGGTCAGGCCTCAGCTCTAGGTTCTTACCCTCACGCATCACCTCCTTCAGTCTCCCCGGCATCCTTGACAATGACAGTCTCCCCGCCACTCTCAGAGGACAAACGCCTGACTTGTTCCTGTTGCTTCTGAGGCACCCACACCCCACAAAGAGCCAGATGCTCACTCAGTTGTATTTATTGAGTACTTACTGCATGCCAGTCCTTGGTGTCGGCTCCCAGGATACAGCAGGGAACAAGGCAGGCATCGCATCTTCCGGGGCCAACCTTCTAGCACCCAGGACCCATCTGAGTCACTGTCGCATGGACTTGCATGGGATGGGAGCAGATTCCAGTCCCTCCCTGCCCCCACTGCCCAATCCCTTTAAGTTCTAAGTGCCCCTCAGGGAGCCAGCTTCCAGCCCTATACCCAGTCTCTAGCTGAACCTCTGGGTCTTCTATGACCCCTGCTCAGGACTTTGTGCTGTCTGGTGAGGCATTTCTGTACAGCTCCACTTGCCCCTCGGGTTCCCTCGGCTCAAGTCTAGTCATCCTCCAGCTGAGGAACCCTCAATAGCTCCCACTTGCCTCAAAGGGGAAAACCTAACTGCTTGGCCCCTCCCTACTCTGCTCTCTCCAGAGCTCACGAGGGCTGGATGACTTTTGCGGACAGAGGGCCCATCTGCCACCCCTCACCCCCCTCAGCTAGAAAGAGGCAGACCCTTGTCCCACATTCAGTGCCTTTGGAGACCGGGTGAGTGAAGAGTCCTGGCACGTGAAGGAAGGGGCAGCCTTTCCTCAGCTCCACCCAGTTGGTGACCCCTAGGAACCCCATATCCTGATTTTGGTCTGGATTTTTGAGATTTAATCTCCAGACCCTTCTGTGGGTCAGTAGATGGTTGAGTGCTGGTTCGTGGTTGAAACAAGGCTGTGTGGGCCAAGGCCAAATACAAGGGAAGCCGGATTTGGCCTGTGGCGGGCAGGCGGGCGGCTAATGGCCTCTGTTTGACTCACCCGTTCGCGGGGCCCTGCAAAGGCCTTACGGCACAAAGGCCTTTCATGGAACTGTCACAAGCGACCCTGCTTGAACATCCCCATTTTACAGATGGAGGGATTCAGGCTCAGAAATGAGGTCCCCTTCCCTAGAAAGGGACCGAGCCAGCAGGACGCCCGTGGCACCTGCTCAGGGGTCCCCATGCTCTTGACATTCTCTAGTGTGGCCCGTCTAAACGGGAGGAGGCCCCTTTCCCAAAATGTCGCTCTTAGGTTGTTTTGGTAAATGTGTAGGGATTCCATGAGATGATAAGGGTTTGTTGCTTTTTTTAAGTATTTAAAAAAAACCTTTTTTTCATGTTTATTTATTTTCAAGAGAAAGAGTGGGGCGGGGGCAGAGAGGGAGGGAGACACAGAATCCGAAGCAGGCTCCAGGCTCTGCGCTGTTAGCACGGAGCCCGACACGGGGCTCGAACCCATGAATCCATGAGGTCATGACCTGAGCCAAAGTTGGACGTTTAACGGACTGCACCACACAGGTGCCCCTTAAGTATTTTTTTAAAACTTATTTACTTATTCTGAGAGAGAGAGAGAGAGAGAGAGAGAAAGGCAGAGAGAGAGAATCTCAGAATCACTGACAGTGCAGAGCCTGATGCGGGGCTGAAACTCGCAAACTGCGAGATCATGACCTGAACCAAAGTTGGACACTTAACCAACTGAGCCACCCAGGTGCCCGAGATGATAGATCTGTTACACAGTGGTCTCGACTGGTGGCTTCTTTCCAAAAGTCTCTGGGACCGGCCCCCGCTGGTGCAACCCCCTTCCACGGGGACCCTCTCGTTACGGTCTCCTGTTAATGTCCCCTGGGTTCCTGTATGAGCCCAGTGGCCGCACATGCTCCCCACCCCCATCTCTCTCAAAGGCAGCTGGGCGGGCTTTGCCCCTTGAGACACGGCATGTGCCTTGTCTTAGCCTTACCTCAAGCTGGGCGTCAAGGGCCACGTGTAATTATACTTAACTGACTGTATTTATTTAACAAGCACTGATCTCCTGTTTCCTGTGCTAAGTGTTCCACAAATATTCTTTAATCTTTATAACACCCCCTAGAGGGCGGAGCCCTATGATTATCCTCACTTTGCAACTGAGGAAACCAAGGCAACAGAGATGTTAAATGACTTGCCCAAAGTCACACAGCCAGCACGTGGCAGCGGCAGGATGCGAACCCAGGCCGTCAGTGCCCCGAGGCACCGTGCTGTATTGCCTCGCACCACAGAGCAGCATCCTTTTCTATTCCACTGCTGATTAAAAGCGAGAAAACAAGAGAAAGGAAAATAGGCGTTCACGCAAAAACCCGTTTGCCAATATTCATGGCAGGTCTGTTCAAATCAACAAAACACGGAAACAAGCCGAGTGTCAATCAGCTGATGAGCAGATAAATGACACATGGTGTGGCCACACGATGGCATAGTATTCAGCCGTGAAAAAGGACGAGCTACATGGACAAAACTTGAAAACATGATCCTAAGTGAAGGAAAGCCAGTCACAGCGCCCCCTAGTGTATGGTTCTATTTATATGAAATGTCTCAAAGCAGCAGATCTGCGGAGACCCAGTAGATAGATGAGTGAGTGGTTACCAGATGCTGCGGGAAGGGGGGATGGGGAGTGACTGCCAGTGGGGATGGAGTTTCTTTGGGGAAATTATAAAAATGCCCTAAAAATTTTTTTAAATGTTTTTATTTATTTATTTATTTCTGAGAATGAGAGAGAGAGACAGCATGAGCAGGGGAGGGTCAGAGAGAGAGGGAGACACAGAATCTGAAACAAGCTCCAGGCTCTGAGCTAGCTGTCAGCACAGAGCCTGATGCGGGGCTCGAACCCACAAACTGTGAGATCATGACCTAAGCTGAAGTCTGACGCTTAACTGAGCTACCCAGGCACCCCAAAAATGCCCTAAAATTGATTGTAGTGATAGACACTGTATGTAATAGGTCTTATGAATATGCAATATATACTCACCCACTTTCTTTTTTTTTTTTTTAATGTTTTATTTATTCTTGAGAGAGAGAGAGACAGCGTGAGCAGGGGAGGGGCAGAGAGAGAGGGAGACACAGAATCCGAAGCAGGCTGCAGGCTCCAGGCTCCGAGCTGTCAGCACAGAGCCCGATGTGGGGCTCAAACTTATGAGAAAGATCCTGACCTGAGCTGAAGTCAGATCCTCAGCTGACTGAGCCACCCAGGCTCCCTGTCTCACAACATAAAATGAAAATGTGAGGGGGCGCCTGGGTGGCTCAGTTGGTTAAGCATCTGACTTCAGCTCAGGTCATGATCTCACAGTTCGTGAGTTCATGTCCCACCTCTGTGCCGACAGTTGGGAGCCTGGAGCCTGCTTCCGATTCTGTGTCTCCCTCTCTCTGCCTCTCCCCTGCTCACGCTTTGTCTCTTTTTATGTTGTGACAGACTTTTTTTTTTTAATTGATTTATCGGGTGGGGGTGTGTGTGAGGTGGAGGGGGTGTAGATTCTGGTTTTCTCCAAACTTTTTATACTGAAATTTTCAAACCTACAGGTGGGTAGAAGTTGCAAGAACAGGGGCGCCTGGGTGGCTCAGTCGGCTAAGTGGCCAACTTCAGCTCAGGTCATGATCTCACAGTTCGTGGGTTCAAGCCCTACATGGGGCTCTGTGCTGACAGCTCAGAGCCTGGAGCCTGCTTTGGATTCTGTGTCTCCCTCTCTCTCTGACCCTCCCCTGCTCACAACCTGTGTGTGTGTGTCTCTCTCTCAAAAATAAATAAACGTTTTTTAAAAATTAAAAAAAAAAGAAGTTGCAAGAACAGCTCAGTAGCCCCCTCCCCCTCTCTAGCCAGACCTGACAGTGGGTTATATTTTGCTACATTGTCTTCACTGCTTTCTGTACAGTTGTTTTCTTTTTTTTTTTAAATGTTTTATTTATTTCTAGGGGAGAGAGAGAGAGAGACAGCTTGAGCAGGGGAGGGTCAGAGAGAGAGGGAGTCACAGGCTGAAACAGGCTCCAGGCTCTGAGCTGACAGTCAGCACAGAGCCCGACGCGGGGCTCGAACCCACGAACCGCGAGATCATGACCTAAGCGAAAGTCGGACGCTTAACCGACTAAGCCACCCAGGCGCCCCTACAGTTGTTTTGTTTTCACGGAGCCATTTGAGAGTATACTCCAGACATGACATTTCATCCCTGTGTGTTATGAGACAAAGGAACCCTGATGGCCCCACAGTATAATCACCGTGCGGAAGAACATTAGCCGTGGGGGTGCCTGGGTGGCTCAGTCAGTTAAGCGTCTGACTTCGGCTCAGGTCATGATCTCACCATCCGTGAGTTCGAGCCCCGCGTCAGGCTCTGTGCTGGCAGCTCAGAGCCTGGAGCCTGCCTTGGATCTGTGTCTCCCTCTTTCTCTCTCTCTCTCTCTCTCTCTCCTTCCACTTATGCTCTGTCTCTGTCTCTCAAAAATGAATAAACGTTAAAAAAAAAAAAAGGAACATTAGCAGTAATTCTGGGGCGCTGGGTGGCTTGGTCCATTAAGCATCTGCCTCTTGAGTTCAGCTCGGGTCATGATCTCACCGTGTGTGAGTTGGAGCCCTTGTATTCTGGAAGGTCAGCCCAGAGCCTGCTGGGGATTCTCTCTCTCCCTCCCTCTCTGCCTCTCCCCTGCGCTCACGGGCGCTTTCTCTCAAAATAAACAGGTTTTAAAAGAATATGAACGATAATTCCACACTAGTACATCATCTAGTGCAGACTCCTATGTCCTCAGTTTTTCTTCGAAACGTGTTCTCTGGATGAATCGGGAATCGGGACCTCACAAAGGCTCCTGCGTTGCCTCTGGGGGCCTCATGCCCTAGTGGGGCCCCTCGGCGACAGCCCTGCCCGGCCTGGAGGGGTCTGGCTCCTTCCCCCCCCCCCCACCTCTCTTCCTTTCTCTTTCTTTTCTCTCCAGGAGCCCAGGATGTGCAAGTTCGAGTGCCGCCCAAGGTGCAGGGCCACCTGGGGGACACCGTGCAGCTCCCGTGTCACCTGCTGTCGTCAGGACCGGACGTCCGAGTCTCACAGGTGACGTGGCTGCACGTGGACGCCACCGGCGCCAGCAGAAGCGTGGCCGCCTTCCACCCTGCGTACGGACCCAGCTTCCGCGGCCCAAAGCCTGGCGAAGAGCGCCTGTCCTTCGTCACCGCCGGACAGAGCGCCGGGGCCAAGCAGGGCACTGAGACGGAGCTGCGCGACGCCACGCTGGCCCTCCGGGGGCTGACGGTGGAGGACGAGGGCAACTACACCTGCGAATTTGCCACCTTCCCCAGTGGCACCAGTCGGGGGGTGACCTGGCTCCAGGTCATAGGTGAGCAGGGTCGGTGGGGAGAGCCCTCGTGCAGATCTGTTTCCGCCCCTGCGTCAGCTGTGATCTGATTTCCTCCATGCTGTTCAGTCAGTTGGTAAATATCCACGAGGCGCCTGCCGCGGGCCAGGCTCTGTTCTAGAAGCCGAGGACACACCAGGCCACAAGGCGTTCGCCACATGTATACCGAGCGCCTCCTACGTGCCAGGCACTGTTCTAGGCTCTAGCAACAAAGCAGTAAGACAGAGCTCCCTGGCCTCCTGGGGCTTCTACTTCAATAAGGGGGTCTCAGACAGGAAACCACATTAGTAAGAAAAAGAGGAGCGAGTCAGGCGGTTATAGGTGCTTGCTATGGAGGCTGGAGGGGGGCATGTGACAATTTTGGCTGGAGAGTCCTGGTGCGATCTGAAGAAAAACTAGAAGGACATGAGGGAGCCCCGTAGGTTCGCCAAGGGAAGAGAATTGCAGGCAGAGGGAACGGCAGGTGCAAAGGTCCTGAGGCAGGGCCCACGTGGACTCTTTGGCGAAGAGCAAGGAGGTCAGCGGGGGCGGAGGCTTGTGACTAAAGGGAAAGGAGGAGGGGACAAGGTCAAGTGGATGGTGGGAGCCACACGGGATCACGGATAGCCCCATGAACCACATGAGGACTGTGATTTTTACCCTGAGGGAGCTACAACCAGGGGAAGGTGTGATCTGGCTTCGGTTTTCACAGGCCCCCTGGCTGCGCGCTGGGGGCGAGGGGGGAAACTCAGGAGCCACAGGGGAGCGGGTGACCGAATAAGTCCGGGCAGGAGGTAATGGCAACAAGGTGAAGCAGTTGAGGAAGCAAGAAGGGGTCAGATTTCGGAAGTAGGTGGGAGGCAACTCCAGGGAATGATCAAATTCACCAACACTGGGCTGTCACTGTCGTGACACTTGCTCAGAGTGAGCGACCCGGTGTTCCACCGAGGCAGACGCAGTGGGGGTGGGGAGGAGTGGGTGGGACAAAGCCTCCAGCCCCAGCCCGAGGGTGACCCTGGGGGAGGGGGAGACTTCAGGAAGGCATTTTTTTTTAATGTTTATTTATTATTGAGAGACAGAGGGACAGAGCGTGAGGGGGAAGGGGCAGAGAGAGAGGGAGACACAGAATCTGAAGCAGGCTCCAGGCTCCGAGCTGTCAGCACAGAGCCCGATGCCGGGCTTGAACTCACGAACTGTGAGATTATGACCTGAGCCGGAGTCCAACACTTAACTGACGGAGCCACCCAGGTGCCCGGGCATTTTTTTTTTTTTTTTTTTTTGAAGGACGCTATTTCTTGCTCGGCCTGAGCCACCCGCTTGGGATCCCCCTCCCCCAGCAATGTCCCCAAAGCCACCTCGCTCTGGACACTGTGACACTGTTTTCCCTCTCCTGGCCCCAGAGGGTTTGAGATGCCCACCCGGTACCGCCTCTGGGTAAAGGCTTTCACTTCAGAGGTGCCTGAAACCCCAGTTGTTTTGCATAATTCACAACACAGATCTCCACCGCACCACCCCTCACAGAGATCTCTTTCCCTGCCATCATTTGTTCCGTTCGAGACACAGACGCGAAGAAGCCCCAGTCTCTCACCAGGTAGCTCCCAGGGCAGGTGCACAAAACCGACCTCTGCTTTCGCGGAGGCTCAGGGGTTGTCAGTGACCCCTAAAGGAAGGCCAGATGTCAGGGAAGTTCCCCTGCGGAAGTGAGGCTGGGATCTGCAAGAGGAAGAGTGAGCCCAGGAGAAGGGAGGCCAGGTCATTGCGGGCACGTGGTCACCGTGACCCCGGCGCGGGTGGGAGCAGCGTCCGAGGGCGGCATGGGGCGGGTGCCCAGAGCAGTCAGGGGACAGATGGTGGGGTGACCAGAGAGGATGTGAGGAGGGCCCCTTGGAGGCCCTGGCAGCCCCGGGGAAAGGAGGAAAGGAGGGGGGAGCTGTACCCCATGGATGAGCTCAGGAGAATCTCAGAGATTTCCCCTCCCCATCGCCGTCCAGGAAGACAGGTGAGAAGGGCAGGCCATTTCCCGCTTTGGGAATCTCCGTGACCCTTAGCCCACTTCTGGCCCCACCACTGACGGGTGATTTCAGGAAAGAAGTTGGAGGCCTTTTGAGCTGGACCTTTGGACTACATTATTCTCCTTTGGCTTAAAAAAAAAAATCTCAGCCTCTTCCAGGCATTTGGACACTGTCTGCTTCTAGCAGAACAGGTCAGACAGAATAGTGTCACGGAACAGGGCGCAGTGAGGGCTTTATGCAGAAATGTATTTAATCTGCGTGACAATCCTACGGGTGGGCATTTTTTAATTAATTTTGGTTTTAAGCTTATTTGTTTTTTTTTCTTTAATGTTTATTCTTTGAGAGAGAGAGAGAGAGAGAGAGAGAACAAGCAGAGGAGGAGCAGGGAGAGGGAGACACAGAATCCGAAGCAGGTTCCAGGCTCCGAGCTGTCAGCACAGAGCCCAACACGGGGCTTGAACCCACAAACCGTGAGATCATGACCTGTGTTGAAGTGGGACGCTTAAACGACCCCCAGGCGCCCCCAGAGTTTATTTATTTTGAGAGAGAGAGAGTGAACAGGGGAGGGGCAGAGAGACAGGGAGAGTCCCAAGCAGGCTCTGTGCTGACAGCATGAAGCCCGAGGTGGGGCTCGGACTCGCGAACCGTGAGATTATGACCTGAGCCGAAATGCAGAGTTGAATGCTTAACTAACCAAGCTACACAGGTGCCCCGGGCATTTTTAAGCTTATTTATTTGTTTATTTTGAGAGAAAGGGAGAGTGGGGGAGGGACACAGAGAGAGAGAGAAGTCCAAGCAGGTTCTGCACTGTCAGCCCAGAGCCCAACGTGGGGCTCGATCCCACACACATAAGATCATGACCGGAGCCAAACTCCAGAATTGGACATTCAACCAACTGAGCCACCCAGGCAGGTCCCCTGGAATGGGAATGTTTATTATCCCTACTTTACAAAAGAGGAAACTGAGGCACGGAGCTGGGAAATGACCCCAAAGCTACACGGCTGCCAACCGGCAGAACTGGGATTGGGGATTGGAGCCCAGACAGTTGGGGCTTAAGCGGCTCAGCTCCACCGCCGGGGTGTTTGTTGAATGACTGGCCGTGAAGAGTGACGTAACCCCTCTGTTTCTCTCCCCAGCACAGCCCCGGAACCACGCCGAGACGCAGGAGGTCACCCTCAGCCTGGAACCTGTGCCCGTGGCCCGCTGTGTCTCCGAGGGTGGCCGGCCACCCGCCCGGATCTCCTGGTTCTCGCCCCTGGATGGGGAGGCCAAAGAGAGCCAGACGCCGGGGTCCGTGCCCGGCACAGTCACCGTCACCAGCCGCTTCACCTTAGTGCCCCTGAGCCGAGTAGATGGTATCAAGGTCACCTGCAAAGTGGAGCATGAGAGCTTTGAGGAGCCCAGCTTGCTGCCCGTTACCCTTTCTGTGCGCTGTGAGTGTGTCAGGATGTGACCAAGCCCCTTATATCGTCTATACCGGCTTCTCTAGGGCACTGTCTACACTATCGCTGAGTGCTGTCTGCATTAGCTCTCAGGGCCAGATTCTGCGCTGCCTTCCTGCCCATTATATACCGGCTCCCCTGGGCAATGTCTACACCCAGCCTCTTCATTGTCTACACTGGCTCACTGGCTTCTCTAGGCTTCCTCTTTGCTACCGCCATCAGCGGTGGCCAAGAGTTACAGGGGCCAGTTTTTTTTTTTTTATGTTTATATTTTATTTTTGAGAAAGAGAGACAGAGCGCAATGGGGGAGGGGCAGAGAGAGAGGGAGACAGAATCGGAAGCAGGCTCCAGGCCCCAAGCTGTCTGCACAGAGCCCGACGCAGGGCTTGAACCCACGAACCACGAGATCGTGACCTGAGCTGAAGTCGGAGGCTTTACCGACTGAGCCCCCCCAGGCGCCCCTGCAGGGGCCAATTTTACACATATCTTCCCAGTCCCACATCCAGTCACACCAATAGCTTGACATAGACCGCTGGGGGATATTTACACCAAGGAAATTGGCAAACACTGCAGATCAGGCCCATTCTTTTTTTTTTTTTTACATTCCCCTTTTCAGAAAGCCAGTTCACCAGCTCCCCACCTGCCCCCAAGAGCATCTTTTTTGGCTCTCGTGGGCCCCACTTGACATTCTTCCTTTACTGTTTATATCAACTACTGTGGGTCTATACCAACCAACCCAACGTTGTCTATGCACACACCACCACCACTCCCGTTCACACCATCTAAACCGACTCTCCTGGGCTCTATACCCCCCTCCCCCACCAGCATGACTCACATTGGCCCTCTGGGCCCCATCCATACTGATCCCTTCCAGTATGTTCTGTGCTAGCTCTTCCCAAAACCACCTATGCTGACACCCCAATATTACCCAGAGCAGCTTCCCCGACTCTTCCCGTGGGTGCTGCTGAAGAGTCACTTAAGCGGCTCTTCTAGGCTCTGTCCAAACACAGCCCATCCCCCAAGTCAGCATTTTCTACATGAGCTCCCCCTGCAGTGCCTGTGGTTAAGCCAGTTCCCATACCTGTTCCAGGTGTGGTGGACAGAACACAGCCCTCCGACACTGCCTGCACGGAACCACACCTTCCTCAGAATGAGCCACGTGGCATCCCGGGACACTGGGGGTGCTGGCCTGGGCAGACGTACCCCAAACTGCTCTGCCCCAGTTTCTATGGACCCACTTCTTGCCAACCCGCCTCATTTCTTTCGGATCCCCGTCTGTCTGCTCACCTATCAGCTCTTTTGGGACTCTGCCCGTCTCTGAGCCAAGTCCCCCCATTTCCTCCAGACCCACCCGAGGTCTCCATCTCCGGCTATGATGACAACTGGTATCTCGGCCGCAGCGAGGCCACCCTGACCTGTGACGTCCGCAGCAAACCAGAGCCCACGGGCTACGACTGGAGCACGTGAGTCCTGGGTGGACCTGGACCCGAGTCTGGGGGGGGGGCACTGGGGGCCTGGTTCCCTGGGTCTGAGGGAGGAGGGTCTAGAGGGAGCCTGGACCCCTGGGTCTGAGGGGGGAGGGGCTGGGGGCCTGGACCCCTGGGTCTGAGGGAGGAGGGGCTGGAGTCTGACCCCTGGGGAGGGAAGAGCACCAGGGATCTGAACCCGTGAGTCCCCCAGGAGAGAGCTGGCAGTGTAGGGTCTTAAGCATTAAATTTCATGTCCCTGGAGCTTCACTTTTGAAGGCTACGTCATCAGGCACCAGGCCTGTGCCCCCTATGGGCCCTGATGCCCTCCTCTGGTGACACCCCCCCTACCTTCCAGGACCGCAGGCGTCTTCCCAGCTTCCGCAGTAGCCCAGGGCCCCCAGCTGATCATCCACTCGGTGGACAAACTGGTCAACACCACGTTCATCTGCACCGTCACCAACGCCGTGGGCACAGGTCGTGCTGAGCAGGTGGTCCTCGTTCGAGGTGAGTGGGCCTCGGAGGTGGCTCGCGATGACCCCATCGCCTCCCCAGGTGTCTCCCCCCTCTCCCCCCGCCCGCCCCTGGGTTCCGGGACTGCGCTGCGGGAGGCTGTGCCGCCGGCCTGGGGAGGGATGCAGACCCGCCTTGCTGATGAGAAAGGAGGACAGGGTGGCTCTTCTCTCTCACCCCCAGGTGGGATCTGGATCAGGATGATAGGGTAGGCACTGGCGGAAGAATCCAGAGGGCAAGACCTCTGCTAGGGGCTTTCCCAAAACTAGAGGCCTGGAAAGTGTCTCCAGGAAGAGACCCAGGGACATTGCCCTGATGCCAGTTAGAGAGACACATGTCAGACGGCTAGACAAACAGAAACAGACTCAGACACTGATTTCTTGCAGTGAGTGCTGGTCGAGGAACTCGGGTTTGTTTTTATTCATTTATTATTATTTTTTTAATGTAAACATTTCTTTTTGAGGAAGAGAGAGACAGAGCGTGAGTAGTGGAGGGGCAGGGAGAGGGAGACACAGAATCCGAAACAGGCTCCAGGCCTGTCAGCTCAGAGCCCGATGTTGGACTAGAACTCACAAACTGAGACCATGACCTGAGCCGAAGTCAGACGCTTAACCGACTGAGCCACCCAGGCGCCCCAGGAAATCAGCTTTTGTGTGTGTTGGAACATTTGTGTTTCTAGCGGGCGGATTTTGGAAATGGCAGCCTATGTGTCTGTGGGTCCAATGTCCTCTGAGTCTCCTGATAATGAACTCAAACTCAGATGGGCCCGAGACCGGCGAGGAAAAGAAGGAAGCCAGGCTCGGCCTATGGCACAGCGTGGCGGGTGTGGGGTTGAAGTGGCAGCTCAGATGCGCACACCTTAGCAGGAGGCGGGGAACATGCCTCGAGACCCAGCTGCGTCGGCCCCAGGGCTGAGGACAGAGCCGCAGCTATCTGTGCTTGGAGATGGCATTGTAATCAGAACAGAAACTCGCCCAGAGCACCCACACACTCAGCCTCACCGTCACCTAGCCACCCTCCCCCGTCCCATCCCCCCCCCCGCCCCAGAGAACAGGCTGCACAATGAACAAAGACATATGACATGTGACACCGGACCAGACCCACCGAGACACCATGTGTACCTGGAAAAAAAAGAAAGTTCTAGAAAACACCCTCCAAGCTCAACTGTCTCCACAGCACACCTGTGCAAACACACAACACTGCGCGTGGTGGGGAGGAGGAGAGACCCCCTCAGAAACGTGACTAAAGACTAACACGCTGAGGCGGGAGGGCAGACACACCCACACCTAGAGACAGACAGGCAGACAGGCGCCACCGCCGGAGATGGATCCCCTAAGACATAATCTCACCACACACGCGCACAGGCACACACGCATGCACACACCTAGAGAAACCACCGGAAACAGACCCCTCTCAGGAATTCCCTCGCCCTGGAGATGCGGCATGTCTGTCTGGTCAGGGTCAGGGTCACGGCCAACACACCCATGAGATAGGTGGCCTGCCCTCTGCAAGGCTGATGCACTCAGGTGCACAAACACACACCCCTGGAGGGAGGCCCAATCACGCACACGTGCCCGCAGCGGGGAGGACCCTGGACAGCCACAGTCTCCACACACAGACTATCACTCATGCACAGATGCGGGCGGGGGGGGGGGGGGGGGGGGAAGGGAGAGGACATTCAAAGATGTTCTCAGAGGCGCACGCCCTCAGGAACTCTCCAGAAACCCCGTTTCTCGCAACGGAGCATCATCTGACAAATATTTGTGGAGGGCTCCTCTCTGCCAAGCCTCCTCCTTGATGTTGGGACTGCGGTGGTGAGCAGGGACACCCAGTCAAAGGCACACCCAGGGGAGGGGCAGCTCCATGCACCCAGCAAGGTGCCCAGCCCAACTGGAAATACAGCCCCCGAGACACACCCTCTTGGGTGGTGTCTGGTCTCTCCTCCTCATCAGTAGGCGCCCGAGGGGGGTGGAGCCCACAAAACACAGGTGCGGACCCCCTGAGGGGGTGAAAGGAATCCACAACCACGAAAACACGGACACCCCCTAAAACTCCTGAAACACACACAGAAAACCCAGGGATGCCCACCCCCCTTCCAAACAGAACACGCCCGTCGCTTTCCAAGCTAAGCCCTTCGTCCATGCTCACCCTGTGAAACACGTAGTCAGCCCTGTCTGGAACTGGGGTGTGTTGGGGTGGTGGTGGGGGAGCACATAGCACAGAATCTGCCCCCCTCCCCAGAGAGAGACTCAGCATTACAGAGAGACACCCCTGCTCCCCAGCTCCTCCAGAGGCAGCCACAGACCCACACGTAGTCAAAACCATACGGCAAGGACACACACCGACAGACGGACACGGACAGACGGACACCAACAGAAACGGCACAGGTCCCGAGGACCCTAGATCTCCAGAGAGAGCAGCGAGCGAGCCGCCAGAGCCTCGCCCAGAGAGAAGGCTCGCTCACAGCCTTAGCTAGAGTCACACTCGGAGAATCTCAGACACATGACTTTCCCCAGCGCCTCCAGACCCAGACATGCGGTCATAGACATGTGGCTTGGGGTTCACATCAGCGCAGCCGTGGGCCCACGGGCCGTGCCACAGGCTAGACGTGGCCTCAGGGAGACTGGGGAACTTTTGACCCGTGCACTTCAGGAACACACCCACCGTCTCCAAAATACCACCTCCAGAAACCCAGATAAACATCCCGACATGCCTGAAACAGGCTCCCAGATGTCACCGACAGAAAGCTGCCTCACGCCTGTCACCCGTGCACAGGTACAGACATACTTTCCAGGGAAACTGTTTCACAAAATAGCGCTTACCCTTCATACTGGAGATACACCTTTTCTATTCTTTTTCTTTTTTTTCATTATTATTATCGCCCCTCATGAGTCACTAAAGTGAGGTGACAGCCCACTGGGTCATGGCTCTGTTCGAAAATACCACTCCTTTTTTTTTTTAATTTTTAAAAAATTTTTGTTTTTGAGAGAGACAGAGCATGGGTGGGGGAGGGGCAGAGAGAGAGGGAGACATAGAATCCGAAGCAGGCTCCAGGCTCCGAGCTGTCAGCACAGAGCAGGACACGGGGCTTGAACTCATGAACCGCGAGATCATGACCTGAGCTGAAGTCAGACGCTCAACCGACTGAGTCACCTAGGCGCCCCTGAAAATACCACTCTTAAAAGAAACACCCAGAGAAACAGGTGTCTGCAGGAGCTGGGGATCCCAACCCCTCCTGTGTGCAGGGTGTAGGGAGGAGGGGCTTAGGTGTAAGTAGATTCCCCCCCCCACCACCGTTTTTCACTATGAGGCCTGGCATGCAGGGGAGGGGGAAGGGATGTGTATAAAATCGTTTCTGGTTCCAGCTGCATCAATACCTGCCCCTTATGTGGGGCCCCGTGCGCCCTCCCTCACCTCTCCTGCCCCCGCCCTTAGCACTCGCTGGCTTCCCTCTCCACCTCCCTCAGACCCCTCCCCTCCCCGCTGCTGGGCCACTGAGGGGGGGCGAGCAGAAGTCAGTCGGAACAGGGGGCTTCATGGCTCCAGCTTCCACACTGGGGACACATGGCCAGACAGGAGGCCGGTCATACTGCCTGGACCAGGTGCTCCCGGCCACTTCCAAGGGGAGGGAGCTATCAGGAGAACCTTCTTTCCCCTTCTCTCCAGTGTCGCCACCCACCTGGTTTTCTTTCTCCCTAAAAGAAATCAGACTTTGTGGTGAGATAGCCTGGTTTTGAAATGGTAGCAAGTTTAACTTTTTTTAAGTTTATATATTTATTTGGGGGGTGGCGCCGAAGGGGCAGAGAGAGAGAGAGAGAGAGACGGAGAGACAGAATCCCAAGCAGACTCCGCACTATCAGTGCAGAGCCCTGCGTGGGGCTCGAACCCACAAACTGTGAGACCACGACGTGAGCGAAATCGAGAGTCGGAAACTCAACCGACTGAGCCACGCAGGCGCCCCCAGCAAGTGTAATTTTTGAAAAAGCCCTGTGCAGGCATAAGGAGCCGCATCTGAGGGCCACCAGTTGGCCTCCCCCACCCCCACTCTGTAAAAGTGCCCACTGTGCAGCAGGGTCTCCCTTCCCTCCACCTCCTGCATCTTCTGCCCAGAGTCGCATCGAGAATGTTCCCACCACTGCCCCCGTTGTGTCCTACACGCCCCCCCACCCGCCACCCCCCACCCCGGATGTGTCCTCTTGACGTCTTGTCTCCCTTTCTCTCTCTCTCTCTCACCCCTCCTTCTCTCTCCTCAGACACACCCCGGGCCTCGCCCCGAGACGTGGGTCCGGTGGTGTGGGGGGCCGTGGGGGGGACAGTGCTGGTGCTGCTGCTTCTGGCTGGGGGGTCCTTGGCCTTCATCTTGCTGAGGGTGAGGAGGAGGAGGAAGAGCCCAGGAGGAGGAGGAGGAGCAGACCACAATGGAGGAGGATCCTACGATCCAAAAACTCAGGTGTTTGGGAATGGGGGCCCCGTCTTCTGGACGCCAGCCGCCCCGGGTCCCCTGAAGCCAGATGGCAAGGAGGAGGAGGACGAGGAGGAGGAGGAGAAGGCAGAGGAAGGTCTGATGTTGCCTCCACCCAAGGCTCTCGAGGACGACATGGAGTCCCAGCTGGACGGCTCCCTCATTTCACGGCGGGCGATTTACGTGTGACCCTGACACAGACAGAGAGACAGAGACAGAGGCGGCCGCGCCAGCCAAGGGCTCCGGACTGGTTGGACTCGTTTTTCTGGACGACACTGGAGCTCGAGTGTTCCCTCCAGCTTCGCTGGGATTGGGAGGCAGCAGGAGTCACACACTGGACTTCTGTCTCCAGGGCTGCATGGGGAAGGGGAGGGCCCCTGCGAAGCGCAGCAGTGGGGACCCACAGAGGACCCCCCCCTAAGAGACTTCTGTTTGGCTCAGGCCCACCCCGCCCCCGGCCCCCCGGTGACACTCAGGAGTTAATAAACGCCTTGGAGGAAAACAATGGGGCTGTCTTGTAATACATCAGACCCCCTCACTGGGGGGTGGGACAGAGACTGCTAGGTCCCAGGGGGTGGGAGCCTGAGGGAGGCTAGAGTTGGGGGGGGCGCGGGATGGGGGAGGTGCAGTGTTCTGACCGCTTGGATCCATCAGTGAATGACCCCCAGGATGCCCGAGAGGAGCAGGTCGCTGGCTTCTGAGCTTAGAGGCTGCGAAGGCTGGACTTGGGGGAGGGGCGGTCCCAGGACCTGCCGGTGCCTTTCCCCTGGATTAGCCAGACTGGTGAGAGCCCTGAGCTCCCCCGGACGGGACTGGAAACCTGGACTCCTGGGCCCTCGGGTGGGACGGGGAGGGGCGAAGCTCAAACCTGACCATCCTGAGGTTTTGCTGAGGATCTGGGGAGGGACCTTGCCCGCTGTGTTCTGGGCCCTGAGGATCCCCGGCAGGTCTCGGGTATTAAGGAACCAGGAAAGCCCTGGTGACACTGGGCAGTGGCCTTTTTCCGCCTTTTTCCTTGCCCTGGGCCCAAGGGGCTTTTCAGTGATGGGGGGGGGGTGCTAGGAGTGTCTGCAGGTCTGTATCGCTCTCCCCTCCTCCCACCCCCAGCTAGACAACCTCCCAAACCCAGGCCGGGGGCGGAGGGCGGGAATGAGGCGGGGGGAGTTGGGGGGCCAGGGTCCTGTCCCAGTCACCTCTGCTTTCCCCGAGGTCCCTGGCCTCCCGTGTGAGACACAGGTAGAGGTTGTGCCGGCTCCCGCAGGGCAAGGCTGTGCCCAGAACAGCCAGGTGGGGCTCGGGGAGTTCATTTCTCACCAGTATTGACTTCCCCTTATTCTGCCAGGGACACAGAGGTGACTCAGACAGCCCCCTCCCCCTGGGCGTGCAGTCAAAAACAACCACCACCAGGAATCACAGTACCCTTAGGATGGCTATATGTGGACTGAGCGAACGGTGATTACTGTTGTCCCCTGCCCCCAACCCTGCCGCCCTCCAGAAGATACCCGGCTGTGGAACAGGAAGTGGCGGAAACCAGGGACCCCAGGCATTATTCCTGTGGGCAACTTTATCTCCTCTTCGGAGCAATGGGGTTCACAGCGGGTGGGGCCTGTGGGTGGGGCTTTGGCGCACGCGTGGTTTCCTCTAGTTGTTTATGATCTTGTCACCCACTCTGGTCCCCGCCCCCTCCTCCCCTAAATGCGAGGGGAGCGCCAGCAGGCGGGGGCGGGGATTTTGCCAGTCTGGCATATGGGCCCCTCCTCCCACATCTGGCAAACACCAGCTGTGTGCCAGACCCTGCCCCTTGGAGCTCCCAGCGCGGTGTGGAAATTGGCACGGAAACAGGTGACATCAGGGAGTGAGAAGTGCTACAATCGAGAAGCCCAGGGCGCCACGGCTCCTCTCAATTCCCTTTCCTGTTAGGTTGGTGGAGCTACATCCTCTGCCCGCGATGACTCCGTTCCCTGTAATGAGTGAAGGGTTCCGATCCCGGCCCCTGGGCTCTGTGCCTCTTAGCTCTGCCCGGTCACCTCCCTTCCCTCATCTCCCCTGGCTCCCCCTCTTTTCTGGCCCCACGGTCTCCTTGCTGTGCTTCCCGAGCTTCCTCCTCGGGGCTTCCGCACTGGCCGCTTCCTCTGCCTGGAATGCTCCCATTTCCTCCCGGCTCACCCCCTATAGCTCTTTCAGGTCTTTGCTCAAATATCACCTCGAAGCCAATCTCTCTGGCGACCCCTGGGATCCCCCCCCCGTTACTTCCTTGTCCCTTTCCCCTGTGTTTTCGCCCTGTATCACCTACTGCCACTCGGCATAGTAGCTATTGTATTTGTTTCTGTGCTGTTGGACCCTCTGCCGAGCCAGAACATGTGTCGCATGGGAACAGGGACTTCCATATGTGTTGTCCTCCACTGTGGCCCAACAAAATGGTCAGTGAGGACTAAGCCAAGGAAAGAATGACCTCTGCCCTTGGGAGAAGAGGTGGGTGATGACTCAGGGGGCAGGGCGCCTGGGAGTCAGGAGCTGTGGCTTCCTCTCCCGGAGACCCTCTTACACTGTCCCTCTTCTTGCAGAGACCCCCAACACAGCAGGCGCAGGGGCCACGGGTGGCATCATTGGGGGCATCATTGCTGCCATCATTGCCACCGCTGTGGCCGCCACAGGCATCCTCATCTGCCGGCAGCAGCGGAAAGAGCAGAGGCTGCAGGGGGGAGAGGAGGAGGATGAGTGAGTGATGGGCCCTGAGAAGTGGGCGGAGGAGGGCGTCCCAGAATTGGGGAGACCAAGGGGGTGGGGGTGGAGGGGAGAAAAACCATCTGCGATGGTTGTGTGAAACAGAGCGACCCAAAATAACTGTGACTTACGTGGGATGGAGGGTTTATTTCTGACTCCCATAAAGGGTGGGTGTGACAGCCATGCCCCATGAAGCCTTCAGAGCCCAGGCTCTTGCTACCTTGTTGCTCAGCCTTTCCCTTCACTCCCATTCCGCATGGTTCCCCACTCTTCTCTCACTGTCTACATACTTGACAACTGGATACAACCATCCTGGCCTCCAAGCCAGCATTCCTGCCGGGCGGAAAGATAACTAGAAGACAGTGAGCTGCCCTATAAAGGAACCCATCACTTCTCCTCACTTCCCATTGGCCAGAACCTAGTCACATGATGCACCAACTGCAAGGGAAGCTGGGAAATGTAGTCTTTATTCTGGGTGATCATGTGTCCAGTGAAAACCTCTCTCTCTCTCTCTTTTTAATGTTTATTTATTTTGAGAGAGAGAGAGAGAGAGCATGCGAGAGAGGGGCAGAGAGAGAGAGAGAAAGAGAGAGAGAGACAGAATCCCAAGCAGGCTCCACACCATCAGCACAGAGCCTGATATGGGGCTCGAACTCAAAAACCATGAGACCATGACCTGAGCTGAAATCAAGAGTCCCATGGTTAACCAGCTGAGCCACCCAGGTGCCCCCAGCTAAAATCTCTTAATATGAGAAAGAAGGGGCCTGGATATTGGGAGCAGGGGGGAGCCAGCCACACTTCTCTGTATAGAGCACTTACGTGCCAGACTTGGCAAGATGTATTTTTATATGTGTGACCTCAATGAAGCCTCACATCTGTTCATTGATTCAACAAGTATTCAGAAAGTACCCACTAGGGCCAGACCCTGGAGGTTAGTAATGCAATGATGAGACAGACATCAGACATTACATTACGTTCACACACGTAAATACATCTTGGAAACATAAATTCTCACAGGGAGCCAATAAGACCCATTTTATCAAAGAGGTAACAGGTTCAGAGAGCTGAAGTCACTTGCTGAAATTCGTCCAGCAAGTAGGCATTTCGGGGGCAAGATCGTTCTGAAGTAACACTACCCAGTGCACACGCGTACATGGGTGCATGTGTGCGTGCGTGGGCGGGGGGGCAGGGGTGAGGACACTTGTTAAAAATGTAGATTCCTGGGGCGCCTGGGTAGCTCAGTAGGTTAAGCATCTGACTTCGGCTCAGGTCATGATCTTGGGGTTCGTGGGTTCGAGCCCCGCGTCGGCCTCTGTGCTGACAGGTCAGAGCCTGGAGCCTATTTCGGATTCTGTGTCTCCCTGTCTCTCTCTGCCCCTCCCCTGCTCACACGGTCTCTCTCTCTCTCAGAAATAAATTTTTAAAAAAATGTAGATTCCTGAGCTTACACCAAACCTACTGCATCAGAGCTTTTACAGGAAGAGCGTGGAATCTGTATTTATAACAAGCTCCCCGAGTCCTTCTGACGCAATAGGAAGTTTCTGAACCACTGACTTAATCATCTAGTTGATTCAAACCAACAACTTGCTCTCAATCTACTCTCCCCTCCTCTGAGACCCAGTGGTGCCTGACATGGCCCTGTCCCTGCCCTCCTGGGGCTCACAGTCTGGGCGAGCCAGACCCATCCCTAGAGACTGGCAGTCCAGCATGGCCAGCGTTGGGCTAGAAAAGCTGAGGGAGCTGTGAGAAGCCAGAGGGGGCCCCTGACCCAGCCTGGAGGATCAGGGAGGGCTTCCTGGGGGAGGCAACCCCTGAGCTGGGGATTGAAGGCATAGTAGGCACTCATGATTATGTATGTAGGATGAGGGGATTGTAACACTGTTTCTTTTTTAATTTTTTAGCATTTTTATTTATTTTGAGGGAGAGAGAGAGAGTGTGTGTGAGCAGGGGAGGAGCAGAGAGAGAGGGAGACACAGAATCCAAAGCAGGCTCCAGGCTCTGAGGTGTCGGCACAGAGCCTGAGGCGGGGCTCGAACTCAGGAACCGTGAGATCATGACCTAAGCCAAAGTCAGATGCTTAACCGACTGAGCCACCCAGGTGCCCCACTTCATCCATTCTTTTAACAAATACTTGTTGGGGCGCCTGGGTGGCTTAGTCGGTTAAGCGTCCGACTTTCGCTTAGGTCATGATCTCGCGGTTCGTGGGTTCGAGCCCCGCGTCGGGCTCTGTGCTGACTGCCAGCTCAGAGCCTGGAGCCTGTTTCAGTCTGTGACTTCCTCTCTCTCTGACCCTCCCCTGCTCACGCTGTCTCTCTCTCTCTCCTAGAAATAAATAAAAAAACATTAAACAAAAATTAAAAAAAAAAAAAAACTTAAAAAAAAAAAACAACAAATACTTGTGGACCTACTCATGGTGAGTTCGGGGAACACTGTTGAGGACACAGATCTCATTTCCTTCACATTGCTTACAGCGGGACCCAGTTATTGAATGATATCAGAGATAATATTTCAAACACCAGCTCAGTAAATGCTCTGAGAGGGAAGAAAAGCTAGACATAGATATAACCATACATCTGGAATTCCTGATCCTCCTGGAGAATCAGGGAGGCTTTCTGGAGGAATGAACTTGATGGGACGAATAGGAGTTAGCAGGGCAAGGGGGCACGTGGGCAGTGGAACGGGAGATCAGGCAGAGGGGAGGGCGGGTGCGGTGACCTGGGACAGGAGGCCTCTTCCCGCCTGAGCCTCCACTTGACCTATGTCCTACCCCACAGTCTGGAGGGGCCTCCCTCGTACAAGCCACCGACCCCAAAGGCAAAGCTGGAGGAACCAGAGATGGTAAGTCCTTCTTCTGGTGCCCAGGCTGCACCCACATCCACACCCATGCTTCCCCACTGAGGCTGGGGCTAGGAGGGGGGACTGGTGGGGAGAGGCCAGCTGTGGTGGGGGGAGGGTCCTGACCTGCCCCTTTTCCCTCCCCGCAGCCCTCCCAGCTCTTCACTCTTGGGGCCTCAGAGCACAGCCCACTCAAGACCCCCTACTTCGATGCTGGCGTCTCATGTGCTGAGCAGGTAGGAGCTCAGGGCAGGTCAGGGGTGGGTTTAGGGTTTGGGCTTAAGGGCCAGGGTTTAGCTCCTGACATAAAAGGTCAAAGACTCTAGGTCACGATTCAAGGTCAGGGCCGAGTGTCTCTATTTGCCAGATACCGTTCCTAAAGCTGAAACAAGACAGACTGTCATTCCCCTAAGTGATCTGCTGGATGTCAAGGGTCAGATATTGAAGCTGAGACAAATCAAGGTTCTCGGAGCTATTTGGCCTTAAGGTTAAGTAGCTGAGGATAAGATTGAAGTCAGAGGTTCCTGGAGAAAGACTTGAGGCCAGGGATCAAAAGACAAAGGAGAAGCCCAGGAATGACAGGCTCTGGGCTTTGTGTTATGGATAAGCCAGATGATGGCCCCAGAGCAGTTGCAGCCCAGGCCCCACAAGGGGTAGGCCGGGTCTGGTTGGCTTAGGAGATGGTCACGATTTGGGGGTCACGGGGCAGACTGGGATTCTGTATGCTCAGGAGATGACCTTGGGCTTTTTCCCTCCCTGCCTCCAGGATATGCCTCGGTATCATGAGCTGCCCACGTTGGAAGAGAGGTCGGGGCCCCTGCTCCTGGGGGCTACCAGCCTGGGGTCACCCATCCTCGTTCCTCCAGGGCCACCTGCTATGGAGAGAGTTTCCCTGGACTTGGAGGAGGAGGAGGAGGAGGAGGGGGAAGAGGAGGAGGAAGACTATTTGGACAAGATCAACCCCATCTATGATGCCCTGTCCTACTCCAGCCCCTCTGATTCCTACCAGAGCAAAGGCTTTGTCATGTCCCGAGCCATGTATGTGTAAGCCGCCGTCCACCTTCGGCCAGGCCAGGCTGCTGTCAGTTAACACACAAAAATGCATCTGACTTCCGTGGCTCCACTCTGACCTCTAATCCGAGATCTCTGACCCAGAGAAACCAGCCACGACAACAGAAACCTGGCAACCTTATCTCGTGTGGGGGTGGGGAAGCACGTTAGCACATTTCGCACAGCCTCTGACCCCCGAGGCTGTGATTGTAGATCATACCTCTCCCGTCCCATCATCTCCGGACTCCCTCCACATCCCAAAGAAGAACCCCAGGCCTCTGATGTGTCCTCAGGCAGAAAACTCGCAATAGCTCTTCCGGGGTGGGGGGTGGGGGGGACACCCTGCTGCTCAGACCTGAGCCCTCCAGGCAGCAGAGCCCCACTGTCCCCCTCCCCACCCTGTCTGTTCCCCATCTCCTCCCTCCTGCAGGCAGGAGTCTCAGGGGTCCAGACCCTTCCCTGAGCCCCCACTACCCCAATTCCTGTCTGAGGGAATTAAGCCCCAGCCCAGGGCTAGGACGAGGTAAGCCTCATGCAGCGTGCCTTTCCCGGCCCCAACCTTAGGAGAAGAGTTTGCTGTTACTTTGAAGACTACTGAGTCCTTTCACTCCCGCCCAGTGGGATGGGACCCAAACGTCTCCTGGCAGGGAGTGGGGGTCCGAGGGGGTGGGGGGTGGGGGTATAATACAGTTTTGTAATACAGCATTTCCTACAAAATCTGAGTTTATACTTTGACCGGGTGTCAATTTGTGTTTTCTGGGGGATGCAAAGGGGATGGGGGTGGGACATGATGGGAAATGAATAGGGCGCCCAGAGCTTGAAGGAATCAGTAGGCTAGAAGTCAAGATGGGTTACAGGCAAAATAAATAAAAGAGCCAAAGATATATATATTTTTTAAAAAATTAAGTGAGCGGATAATGAGCAGAAATGCGGAATAGTGAGTAATGTAAGGGGGGGGGAGGAACCCAGGGAACGGTGGTTAATGACAAGGAACGGCATTGGGAACCAATGGGTAATGGACAGGAATAAACGGAACAAAGAAATGGCAGTAATTCAGTTTGAGGGACTCTGGTTTAAAGGATAAATGGCAAGTAAGAATAGGCCAAAGGCAAAATCACGAACAATGCAATAGGAGCTCAGGGATTATGGGTAATAGAACTGAATGAATGAGCCAGAGGCAGAAGAATAATAGAGAAATAGGGCCGGCAGGCATGATGGGTAATGGACCCAAAACATGATGGCTAATTAAAGAAGCGCTAGGATGATGGAAGTGAACAGGCAGAAACGAGCTATAGGTAGTTCAGGAGATGCCACTGAAATGAATGGGACAGAGGCATGCTGGGTAATGGGACGGGAATGAATGGGCCAAAGATAGAAGCCGCAGTGACGCAAGTGGGGGCGGGGAACGGAAGGTACGATGGGTAACAAAAGGGGTGGGTCTACGGCAACTGTCTTTCGCGTTAAATAGGTAAGGGGCATTGTGGGTAAGAAAAAGCAGGACAGGGTTCACATAAACCGGTTAGGACTCTCCCGAGGCACTGTGGGAAGGGTCAGCACTTCCGGTTTTTGGTCGCCGATTCTGGACTAGGGGGCTGCCCATGGGCCGCGGTGCCTGGTGGGACGAGAGGCCTGACCTTGCTGCCTAGCAGCCTCTGCCGCGCAACCCACCTTTATCTGCGTCCCTTGACCCCGGCACGTTAGCCAATGAACGTACCAGACCGATGACGCCACCAGGGTCGGCCTCCTGTACCCGCAGAGCCAATCAGAATGCTACAAGGGCAAAAGCCGACCAGTTACAATGGCAACTTCGCCGCGGGGCGGAGTCGAAAGAGGGACGCCCCCTGGAGAGGGGCGGAGGCGACGACTCAGTGGGCGTTTCAAAGTGCGCCGCTCAGACCAATGACGGACGAACACCGGAACCCGCGGCGTTGCGAGCCAATAGATGTGGGGACCGCGAACCAATAGGAAAGGCGGGGAGGTGTGCCTTGCCCTGCCTGTGAGTGGAAACCAATAGAAAAGGGCGTCTCAAAGAGGTGGGTGGGACTCCCAACCATGACTCCAATTGCAGGGCCAGGCCTTGAAGCTAGTAGGCGGATGCCAGGGCATGCTGAACCAATGGGCTAGGCGGGGCGGGGCGACAGTGGTGGCGGCGGCGGCAGCGGGTTCGGTTGCGCGTGGCGCACGGGGTGGGAGCGGAGCCCAGGTCGGGTGCAGGCGCTGCCGCCAGTGAGAACCGGGGCCTGGGGCAGAGAGGGTTTGGCTGGGACTGGACCCGGAGTGTGCGGGCCCTGACCTTCGCCCTCTGACCTCTCCCCTTGCAGGCGACCATGGGGAACGTCTTGGCCGCTAGCTCGCCTCCCGCAGGGCCGCCGCCGCCTCCTGCGCCCGCCCTCGTGGGACTGCCGCCGCCTCCGCCCTCTCCTCCGGGCTTCACGCTGCCGCCACTCGGGGGCGGTCTGGGCGCTGGTGCGGGTCGAGGTTCGGAAAGGACCCCCGGTGCCGCGGCCGGCAGCGCCGCAGGGACTGCGGACGATGGGGCCTGCGGCTGCCTGCCCAACCCGGGCACGTTCGAGGAGTGCCACCGGAAGTGCAAGGGTGAGGGGCGAGAGACCCGGCGGGGGTGTGAAGGCCCGGATCTCGTGGGGGAAGGGAGAGCCCTCTGAGGACCTTGGGAATTGGCATGGACCATTGGAAACATTGAACAGAGCGTTAGGAGTTGACGTTAGGATCGAGTGGTGGAACGTTGGACCTGGAGCATAGAACGATGGGATCAAATGGAACCTCAGGATGGAATGCCAGAGCAATAAAGTAAAGCCTTAGGGACCTCAGGAGCCCCAGGGATCAGCCAAGCCGGCCTTCTTGTGTGATCGGGAAGGAAACTGAGGCCCAAGGTCACTGTGTCAGCAAGGGTCCCGTGGGGGTGGAATTCAAGGCTTCTGGATCTTGGCTTGGAAGAAGTCTGACAGCAAAGGCAGTGAAGGTTCATTGAGCGTCGTTTTGGCATTCGGTGTATGCCGGTTCGTTAAATTCTTGCAGTGTCTCCGCGTGGTGAGCTTACAAACGACACAGGTGACAAGATTGACATAGAGAGTTAAAGTGACCTGCCTTGAGTCAAAGGTGGCATTGGGACTTGGATGCGGGCAGAGGCTCTGGTCCTGGCCCCATCCACTAAGTTAGACGGTCTCTGTCCTGGTTGGGGTACTCAGTGCTCCGCTCCGCTTGTGGGTCGCTGGAGAAGGGAGAGCGGGGATGGCAAGGCAGGAAGGGATGAGATGTGGAGTTTGCGTGCAGGGATGTGGCGGGGCGGTGATGGAGAGTGGAGGGTGACAGCATCTCTCCTCTTCAGAGCTGTTCCCCATTCAGATGGAAGGTGTCAAGCTCACAGTCAACAAAGGGTTGAGTAACCATTTCCAGGTGAGCTTTCATGGCGCCCTTAACCTTCCAGAGGTCATCCTAGCCATCCCTCTGCGCCGGCACCTGCACCCCCCGTACCCCCCCCTCAAGGGCTAGGCTCCTTGGCACCCGAAAAGACTCAGACACAGTGCCAGGCTGACTGCTTGCTGGGTCCAGTGGAAGTGTTTAGGGACCCAGAATCCAGAGATACCCCTCCCCCCTTAACATCCAGGCAGGAGTGAAGTACCGGGTACGTAGCCACCTCTCCAACTTACCTTTTCCTTGACTATCTGCTCTAGTCGGGCTGAACCTCCCAGTCTTCATCCCCAAACCAACCCTGAGCCACCTGTCTTTTCCTCGCTGGTGGGGAAGCCCGACTGGCAAACATCCCCATCCTGGCCTGGAAGGGAGTTTTGCCGGGGGTAGGGTCAGCTGGGTGTATCGGGGGTTGGCCCACAGGCTCAGACCCTCGGGCCTCCGTCTTCTCCCAGGTGAACCACACAGTAGCCCTCAGCACAATCGGGGAGTCCAACTACCACTTCGGGGTCACGTACGTCGGAACCAAGCAGCTGAGTCCCACAGAGGTGAGCTTCCTTTTATCTCTAGCTCATTGTATCTTTCTTCTAACCAATATGTAGCCAAACGCCAGGCCAAGAGGATGTTGGGAGGTGAGGGTTGTCTTCCCAAGGTGCTTTGGAATATGATCGCTCCTTCGTCCTGGAGCCCTGTCATCTGCCCAGCCCTGTGCCGGGTCAGGGCCGTGGTCACTGGGCGGCGATGACCCAGAGCCGCCAGGGCTGGCTTTGAATGCCTAGCAAGGCATTCGGACTTTCTCTAGGGGGCAGTGGAGAGCCACGGACAGATCTGAACGGGGGGAAAATGGTCATATCTGTGCTTTTAGAAGTACCCTTGAGGCTGCCGTGCAGAAGCTAAGTTAAGAGAATGGGGGCAAAACGGGGGGCCGGGAAGGAGGCTGGGCCAGACACAGCTGAGGCTGGGGGATTGAATTAGGTCTCTGCTTATATCGACTTATAAATTCATTTACTTGCCAAACCATCATTGTACCCCATTCTGTGCCCAACTCTGCGCTGGGCAGTTTTGGAGACAGTGCAGTGACTGAAACAGCCATGGGGTTCACAGTGTAGTTGACAAAGGGAACAAACTTGTACCCAGACAGCCCAGGGTAGGCAGGACTGAAATGAGGGAGGGGAGCCTAACTCAGCCTAGGTGGTCAGGGAGGGCTTCCTGGAGGAGGGGACCGCAATCCGGGTTTTTGTGACACTGGGCTTCTCACCGAGGCTCATCACTCGTGTGTTTCTACGATGTTAGGCCTCCGACCTCTTACCTTGCCCTCTGTGCCATAGGCATTCCCTGTGCTGGTGGGTGACATGGACAATAGTGGCAGCCTCAATGCTCAGGTCATTCACCAGCTGGGCCCTGGCCTACGCTCCAAGATGGCCATCCAGGTAAGCGAGAGCACGGTCGGCTGCTCCCCCGGCCACCCCGAGCACCGGGCTGCCCGCTCCACTGTCCCTTCCCCCTGCAGACCCAGCAGTCCAAGTTCGTGAACTGGCAGGTGGATGGAGAGTATCGGGGCTCTGATTTCACGGCTGCTGTCACTCTGGGGAACCCAGACGTCCTGGTGGGTTCAGGTAAGAGGCACAGGTGGCCTGGCAAATCCAGTGCCTTCTCCGGGCCTCCTTTCCCAGCGTCTAGAAACGGCCAGGGGCAGGTGTGAGCTTGAAACCTCCCGCAATCTAGCATTTGGGCGCAAGCAAGTAGGTTTGAACCTCACCTCTGCCACTGGCTTCACCGCAGTCGGAGGCGAGCCCCATCACCCCTCTGGGCTTCGGTTTCCTTGTCCGTAGAATCGGGCTGCCCCACAGGGTTGTTAAGTTCATGTTAAGTTCATCCGTGTGAAAAAACCCTCCCAAGGGGTGGGGGAGACCCAGCGGGTCCCAGGGAGACGTGAGCCGCTCTTACTACTTACGGGCTCGGGTTGCTGGGTGCGTGGATGGCTGGGAGGGTGGGCCCCTGTGCAGTTGTGGGGGGGCCGGTAGTCTTGAGACAGAAGCCGACCAGGAAAGTTCCCGTTTGGGTTGGTGTGGGCAGGGACCTTCCCTGCTTGTGTCTGTGTGGTCCCGCCTCTCCTTGGTTCCCCTTTTCTCTGGCTCCGCGGGTCTGATTTCTCAACATTCCTGGCGGGTGTTGGCTGGGCGTGTTCCATGCGCATCCCAGGGGCTGAGGATAAGGGGCAATGGAAGG